GCGTCCCGCCTGACTGACAGCTTTGGTAATTAAGTGATTGTATAGACCTCCCCGACTGTTCTAACAACCTTGTCAGGGCCTGTCTGCGGACAGAACAAGCTGAAATCAATGTGCTTTCTGCTCTCTGAGCATTTCTGATCATGTACTCAGCCTGCATTGGGGGGAAATATTTGACAAAAGAAAAACAGTAGCACTAAACGTTGAGATTATTTTTTTTGGAGCAGAAAGTTAACTTCCGGAGTTGATGGTTGTTTTTTTTTTTTTTTTTTTCCCTTAAGGAAGGAGAGGAGGAAGGGCGCGGAGGAGCCCCCGCCGGAGCTGGCCGGGCACGAACGGGCCGCGGCTCCGCGCCGTTTTGTTCCCGCGCGGAAACGTTCTGTAGCGTCTCTTGCAACGGCCCCAATTACTCCGAGGTACAATATATTTTCGCCTGGATTAGACGGCGAGTCTGTTGGCACGGTGTAAATGTCAAGCAGCAGCTTTTAATAAAGGGATGTTCAGACTGTTAAATTTCACAGTACAGCGGGCTCTGCTCCCCCCGCCGCCCCCGGGAGCTGCGCGACCCTCTCCGGGGCAGCAGGAGGGCCGGGCGCGGGCACCGCGAGGGCGCCCCTGCCCGCCCCCCCCAACCTCGCTGGGGGCCCCCCAGCCGCCATCGAGCCATTGATTAGCGCTCGCAGTGCCGCCCTAATTAGCCGCCTGCTAATTAACGCGTGGGGCCCCTTTCGCCGCCTCTGAGTGGCACCTTCGCTCATCGCTTTGATTCAGTTATCGCTGATTCATTTGTGGGGGGGCGTCCGCGGTCGGACGGGTTGGACGGGGTTGGGGGGACACATGAGGGGCGGCTGCAGCGCGGTGGGGAGCGGGGGGCTCTGCCCGGGAGTCCCCACGGAGGCGGCTCCGGCCGAGACGGGAGGGAGCGAGTTTTGCCGCGCACGTCGCGGTCGGGTCTTTCCTGCGAAATATTCCCGCACAATGCGGCCGAGGATTAAAAAAAAATGGAAGAGGGGAAATTAAAAGTGTTCACTCTTCAGGAACATGACTTTAAGCTCTAAATCCTAATTCCAGGACGGAGAAGTGTATTGTGAGCTAGGGGATTAGGTCAGTGTAACACAGCGCCGCGGAACTCGCATTCCCTAGGGATAATTAGGACATTCTGCTCATACAGGCAGCGGGATGCTCCGGGCTGCGACAGCCGTTCCTCAGCTGCCGACACCGCCTAGTCCACTCTCTTTTTTCCCCTTCCCGTGGCCCTTCCCTATCCTCTTCATTTCCCGTTTTTTCCCCTCCCTTCCCATCCGTTATCTGCTGGAGGGTCCCGCTCGGGCGCTGCAGGCGGCGGCCGCCTCTCCATAAGCTCCGAGGTGGCGGCGCCCGCACGGACCAGGCGCCCGTCGGGGGCCACGGGCGGGGCCGCGACCGCCGCCCAGCGGACACGGGCGGCCCTGCAGCTCCTCGGCGGCGAAAGCGTGGGCAGGGGCTCACGGGGCAGCGAGGCCGTCGGAAGGCGTCAGGAAGCGTTTCCTGCCGTCCAACAACTTCTCACGCCGTGCGGGGGTCGGTCCGGGGGCTGTCCCGCCGCGGCGGGTGATGCTGCTGAGCAGCGCGGGGCTGGGGAGACCCCGCGCGCCGTCGGAAGCGGCGCCCAGGGCCGCGGCACCCCCGCCTGGAGCGCAGCCCCTCATCCCGTCCCGGCTCCGTCCCCGGGGCACCGCAGGGCTGCGGGCCCAGCCGCTCCGCAACGCGGGACGGGGCAGCCGCGGCTCTGCCGGCTGCCCGCGGTGCCCGGAGCTGCTGAACCGGGCCCTTCGCCTCACCCCGGGCACGCTGGCCCCCACATCCCCCCGGAGACAGTCCAGCCCTGCGCCCAGCAGCGCGCTTTGTGTGCGGGAATCGCCGGCTCTTCCCCGGGTCCCACCGGTCGGTGTGTGCATTTCGGTGCGCTCCGTCGGGTACGTCTTTGGGCTGCAGCTTTGGAGCTGGGGCTGCTGGGCCCGGAGCTGACAGGTCGGGCATCGGGCCGCTCAGGCCGTGCTCCTGTAAGGGCCTGAAAATGTCAATTCGGAGTAAAACGTAGCTAGCAGAACTTTGAATCATTCATTAGCACCTTATAATTACTCTGCTAATTAGGTTGACACGGCACTTAATCAGGATTAATACGACGTCTTGTCACTGGCACTTCCCATTACTCTGACATCCGACGAGGGAGCCGTCCCGCCGCCCTCGACACGGGCTGCCGCCCTCCGCGGCCCAGCGCCGGGAGCGGCCTCGCCAGGAGGGCGGCGGGGCGGGACGGACGGGCCGCGTTACCCGCAACACGTGGAGCGGGTAACCGAGAGCACCGGGGCGGAGAGGCTGCCCGAACGGGCCGGGCGCGCCGTCCTGCCCGGGCTCTTTCCCTCCCTCGCCCCTTTTCCCCTTCCCTTCCCTCTCCTCCGTCCCCGCCGCCCGACGCCGCTCCGGCTCCCGCGCCCCGGCGGCGGCGCGGGGCGGGGCGGGG